AGATTCGGTGGCACTGCGTTTTCCCTGTTTAGACGGGAATACGAAGAGATACAGAAAATGTGCTGTGTCTCAGCCCTTTCAATGCAGGATGATTTGTTTGAAAAATCTCCGAGAGAGGATAACTAAACAACCATTTGACGGGTCGTCGTGATTTTTTGTATGTAGGTAGCTTAAGTGATGCTTGACACAATTAAACTACAATTATGCAAATCAGGATCTAACTTTCATAATTAATGTGGACATTCTATAAATCTGCTTTATTCCATATTAGGGCTATGAAACACTTTTGACATATGTAATTGAAAGCGACAAAATCATTGGCAGATATTGATTATGTAAATGAAGACGTAATTTGAATAATTAATGGAAAATTGGTACAATTTTATGTTGGTAACTGCTGGAGACATAATCGTCCGTCTTTGCTCTCTTCCAAGGAATACCACTATCACTTGCCTTAATGCATATTTGTTAAGTGAATGCGTGGAAGCTGTAAGTATAAGGTATGGAGAAGTACAACAATCATCCTCAGGTAAAGTGAAACATGGTGCTTAAGCTTTTCAAGTCAAGTATACATTGCGACTTCGTCTTCACTTCGCGCGCTGATAGTGATACGCAAACCCCCTAGGTCCGCTGCGCTCGTACAATCGGCCTGTTCTTCTAGTACCGTAGTGCATGGGTGCCATCTCTTCTGTAACGGGGTGGTTCAGGGTTAAGTGCACTCGGGGAGTCCCGTTACAACACGAATGGCACCTATTTATATAATATCCAAGCAGATCATTCGGTGGCAAGGCAGTATCCATTTGCCAGACGAGTGTCCATGGCTGTCACTGTATGATCTGATCAGAGATTACGCATCCAGGCTTATAGATCTGATGAAAACCACAATGGGTCCGGGACAGATGAAACGACGCGTACTAGTATATCTCTCAGCGGGTAGCTTCCTTATGTTATGGTCATATTTCGAAACGGCTTCCGGTCGAGCGGTTTTCGGGTCCGACAAGTATGATATGGCAAACGATAACACGCGATCAAGAAACAGGCCAGAGTTTTGCATCAGAAATCAACTTCATTTCTCTAGTATCTGTTACATGTGATTAAAATGTTAAAAAAGATAATTTCATACGAACACATACCGTAAGTTAATGTTTAAATTACAAATATGCTTGACTGTCTCATGTTCTCCAGCAATACA